CACAAGAATAAAATTAGAAGTCATAGACACCTTCAACTGTCCTCACATTTAAACAATTTTGTAAAAATATCTCAAGTTTTCATTTAGTTTCAAGTTCAAATTAGTTATCAGCTGTTTAGAAATGAGAAATAACAAAGTCAAGGTACAAATTCTTAAAATCTATCCCACTATATTTGACTATTTCTAAGTTTTATTTTCAAAAAGGAAAGACTGGCCATCGGAACTTGGAGAGAATAATGAGTGTTACAGCACCATAACAATAGTCTTTTTCCCCCACACCAAATCAAGCCCCAATCTTCAGTCTTCACAGTCAACTATCAATTCACAGAACAGCACAGTAAATGATACAGAGAGACAACCAGTAAAGTCTAGACTGAGAGGAAAGTACAGCTCAAATTATCAAGCTCCAACAAAAAACTTAGAGGGAAGAAAGAGAGATGAAAAAGAAACCTATAGACACAAACGACAGTTAAGACATCAATTATTTCCAATGTAGGAGCTTTGTTCATCAGTAAGAAATTATCAATATTGCCAATGGGACCTTGGTTATATGTTTTTATTGCTTTAAAAAAAATTCATTTTATTTTTGTTTTATGTGTATGTTTGCCTGAAGGCATGCAAGTGCATCAGTGTAGTGCAATGCCTACGGAGTCCAGAAGAGGGTGTCAGATATCCTGGAACTGGAGTTACAAGCAGATAGTGAGGTGCCATGTGGATGATGGGGGCCAATGCTCTTAACCACTGAGCCATTTCTCTAGCCTTGTTTTTTAAAATCACTTTTAAAGAAACTTTTGTGTGTGTGGTGTATGTGCCAGTCTATGTATGTATGTGGAGGCCAGAGGGGGACACTGAGCATCCTGCTCTATCACTCTGACAGAATCTCTTACTGAACTTGAACTTGGCAAGCCCCAATGATCCTCCTGTGTCTGTACTCCATAGCAGAGTTACAAGCCTGGGATCACACCCAGCTTTTCATGTGGGTGCTAGGGTTTTGAACTCAGGTCTTCATGCTTGCACAGCAAGTGCTCTTACCCACTAGAGCCATCTCTCTAGTCCCTTTTATCATTTTTAAAAGGCACATTTTAAAATGAAATAGTTCATTCAAATATAAAATTCAATGATGTTTTAAAGTAAATGTACCAAGCTTTGCAACTATAAATCTAATTCAGTTTTAGGGTACTTCCACTTCCTCCATGAGACTTCTCATGCCCATTAATTATTAACCCATCCACCAACATACCATCCCATTAGACTACTTTCTAACTCCAAAGATTTATGCTTTCTCTGACCTAAGAGAATCATGCAATATGCAGTCTCCTGTGTTTAGTTCCTTTCATTTACTATTTAATCTATTAACAGTAGATTAATACTACTAATACGTGTTACCACACATATTAGTAGTTTCCTTTTATTGTACAGCTTTTTTTTTTACTGTATGTACGTAACACATTTTTTCTAATTGTTCACCAGTTAGAATTCCAAGTTCAGGATAGTCTGAATAATGCTGCTACGAACCCTTATGTGCAGAAGTTGTGTGGATAGATACCTGAGGGTAACCATTGAGTAACCATTGCAAATTTATACTCACCATCTGAAGAAAGTACTGAATTGTTTTCTAAAGGGTCAGCACCATTCACATTCCCACTAGCAGTATGGGAAGGTTCCTGTTTGTGGTTATGTTTCCATTTCTTATCCTCTCTGTATATTGAAATATTGAGGGTAGAAATGATTTGATGTTTGGGATCTGATTCAAAACAAACCAGTGAGTAAAGATTACCAGAACTGACAAAACAAGGTCTGTCATTCCTCAGAAACTACTGCATTGGTGGTGGTAATAACCATTTCCTATAGTAAGTACTCAGCACACACCGTCAAGCTCTAGTGCAAGTGCTATAGGTATATTAGTCCATTTAAATGCCCACAGCAACCTGAAAAGGAAGTTGTTATTATTATTATTTCCATTTTAGAGATAAGAAAACAGACCAATAAAGCTTAAGTAATGTGACCAAGTCCAGACTAATATCAAAACAGCTTGCTTCTGAGCCCAAGCTTTCAACTACCCAGTCAAACTCAGCAACAAGGAAACATTTCTTCTAATATACAAGCAAAAAAAAAAAAAAAAACAGAGAAATTAAATACAAAGTGGCTTCTATGAAAATATAAGTAGGAAACCCAATGTTAAATGTAAGATTCTAATACACACAGTAATGAAATGATTTTTCTTTAATTGTATCTTCCACCATTAATATTTTGATCAATGTACTGATACTGAACATTCAGCAGTATTCAAGATCAATAGTATCATAACTCAAGTATTACATGAATCAGAAAACTGTGTTAATGAAGATTTTTTACAGTTTCCAATTTTCTAAGGTTTTAAGATGTGTTCAATGAGTTCTGTGCCAGGCTCTTAGCTCAGTGTTGAGTGTTCAAACTTGATTAAAATCTGGAAACAAACTAGAGCAAGACTAGAATGACAAGAGAGCTGTGGCAGAGGCTCAGCAGAACAGTCCTTCAGAGGTGTCACCTCACTCATTCTGGGGTAGGAGAAGCTTCCTGAAAGAGATAATGGAAGTACTAAAGACTTTTGACTGCAGCTATTTCAAGTAAAAACTACTTAATGATTAAAAATGAAGCATGCTTTCAGTGTCAAGTCTTCCTTTTTTTTTAAACTTCAGATTTCAGCAACGTCAAACATCTTCTATTCTTGTAAGTGAAGAGCAGGGAAAACAAAGAAATCCTATTTTGGGATATTAGAATATAATTAGGTCATGGAGAATCAGTAACTGCATGTAACTGAAAGTGTGCTTCATTCATGATATTTCAGTGTGGTTTGGTCACCGACAATCAACACATCCTTCAAATTTCATCTTACTGGTACTTGTAAGGCGTTTACTCATGAGCTGAGTCAAGGGTAGGCTAAACTGTAAGAGTAGGTGGTCTGATTTTTCATCTCAGAATGTTCTTTTATATTTTATCCTGCAAAGTCTAAAATATTATCTGGTCTTTCACAGAAAAGCTGGCCCATTCCTATATATATCACTTGCTTAGGCATTCTCATTTTTTCTGTTTTGGAAAATATCTTTGTCCCCATATCTCCATTTATTTGGGCCAACTGTATGGTCTTAAACACCCAGAAAGTATAACCAAAGAGTAAAGTCATCAGTATATTTCTTTAAGAGTTCATTACACTTCCCAGACATTAGGCTTAAGTCCATAGAAAGTTATTTAGACAATTATTTCTCATTGATGACTTTGTTTCTAAGCAGAAAGTGCTGCTCAGATGTAAGACTTCAAATCTTCGTCTCTAATACTGTAGTGCCCACCTGTAGCTAAGGGAGACAATCTGCTATTGTTCTAAAATGATGGATAAATTTCTTTTCTCCCCCATCTAGAAGCCTTTGAGAGGGAACTGACATTGATTCTAACCACTCCAACAGCTATCAAAGTGCCTGAAAGCAAATCCTGAATCCATCACTCTAGCGTCCAGCTATGGCAGACAAAAAGAAAATGAGGAGGAACCCAATAGAGGGATGCTTTTGGAAGCTCTCATCAAGAAATTCCAATGGACTCCCATATGAACATTTGAAATTTGCCCTGTTCTGACTTTTTTTCTAGTTCCCTGTCTAGAACTTGTAATGCTAATTACTCTTGCCTTTACTTCTCCTTCACATCTTCTATTCACCAGTCAAGGGCTTTTTTTCCCCTACAGATAAGAGTTATGCAATTTGGAAGTCTTTTAGATAGACCCACTGAAGGGGTACCCCAATTGCTTCACCCTGCGTCCCTGTTCAGCATGGAAGAAGCTAGAGCGGTCTGCATCCCGATTCCCTATTTGCAAGTTGGGTAACCTCTTCAGAGGATGGTGTGGTAAGAATAGGAGGTAGGAATTGGCTAGGCAGTTAGGGTAAAAAGGCCC